TTCCACTTTCCAAATGAAGTGTAAAATGGAGCAGAGATAATTTTATTCAGGAAGACTTCAAAAATTATACAGATTAGAGATCTTGAGGAATTTGAAAAAAAACTGTATTAGAGTACAAATTTTCCTTTTATTAGTATTTCATATTTAATTCTGTTCTACCAAATGTTACATACATATTCAAACAATAGGCAACTGTGAATGTCACCTTCAATGGTAATTGCTTTTTTCAAAGTCTCTGAAGCCAGTTAGACTATTATTATTTAAGAAGTGAAGAAACACAGAAATGAATAGATTCATAAGAAAGAAAGTTATGTAATAACAGTTGCATAATTGGAATGATGCAGCAGTAAGCCCAAAACATTAGATTACCAACAACCACCAGAAAATAGCAGGAAACATAGAAAATAGCATCCTCTAGAACTCCAAGAATGATCCAAAACTACAGAAAACTTTATTTCAAATTAGTATCCTGTAGAATTCAGAGGAACAAATTTGTGTTATTTTAATCAATTCCAATTGTAATAATACATTTTATCTATGTTAGGAACTAAGAGACTTTGATACTGAAATTGGAATGCTATGATAACTAGCACCTGAAAATGTGATGAAACTAGTTTTACAGTTGGGCAATTTGTAAATTTGTAATAATTTGGAGGTTCATGATAGAAAACAATTATACATTGCAATAAAGAGTCATCTGGTAGAAATATGGATGTTAAATGAAGTTCTGTTAAATCTCGGAATCTGTAAAAAGAAGCTTATACTGCCTTAGATAATATAGATATGATCATGATTGTTAATATATAGAATGTGCATATAGTAAGGTCTTAGGAATAAATAAGAAGTGTGATATTAGATATTGGAGGAAAGATAATTTTTGTTTTAAATTGACATAAAATGATATAGAAGTAGATTAGGGCTGGAGATAATTGGACACTAACTGGATGCAATGTGAAATGATATTAACTGTCAGTGTTGAAAGGCAAAGAAAACCACAGAAATGTTACAAATATCTGGATACTAAACAACACCCTCCTGAATACTCAATGAGATGCAGAAAAAAACTCAAAGGAGAAATTAAGTAATTCTTGAAATAAAATGGTAATGCAAATACCACATACAAAAATCTAAGGGACCAAAATGAAAGCAGTCCCAAGAAAGAAGTTTATTCCACTGAATCCTTGCATTAGAAGAGCAGAGAATATTCAAATAATTTAACAATGGACTTAATGATACTAGGTAATCAAAAATAATCTAAATTCAAACCAAATGTAAGGAGAGAAATCATAACTGAGCAGAAATTAACAAAATTGAGAATAAAAAATCAACCAAAATATAAAATAATCAAAAATGAATATTTGAAAGAATAAAAAATAGATTAATCCTTAGCCAAATTTAACAAAAGGAGAGAAAATAATTAACCTTGCAATTAAAGGTTAAACAGGCAAAATCTTACTCAACATTGAAAAATCTAAAAAAAATTGACAAAATCTAGTAAGTAGTGTAAAAGATTGGGGTCCAATAACTGGAGAATCTTGAAGAAATAGACTTCTAGACACATTTGAATTATCAGGTGGAAATAAAAGGACAGTAAAATCTCTGTTAGGTAATGAAATTGAGGGAATAATAAAAAACTACCAAGTAAAAAAATACCAGGAACTGATGGATTCAGCAATAATCTCTACAAAACATTTGGGGACAGCATAATGCCAACACATTTCAAACACTTTAGTAAAATTGAAAGCAAAAGACTTCATCAAAACTCATTCCTCAAAGGTGAAATTACTCTGATTACAAAATCAGAGTTTGACCCTACTAATAAAGAAAATAAAAGTGAATTCTTCTAGATGCAAATATCCTCAATAATATACAAATAAAATGCAATAAACCATAAAAATATCATACATAATAACCAAATAGGTTTCCTGTCAAGGATGCAAGAATGATTCAACATATGCAAATCAATAAATATACTACAAACCATAAACAAAAGCAAGAACAAAAATCACATGAACATATCAACAGTTGCAGAAAAAGCCTTTTACCAAATTCAATATCCATTCATGATAAAAAAAACCAAACTCTAAAGAAAATAGGTAGAGAAGGGTCCTGTCTCAATCTGATGGAAGCCATTGGTGACAAACCAATGGTCATCATTGTATTAATTCAGAAAAATCTGAAATGTTTCCCTTAAAATGAGGCAGAAGACAAGGATATTCATTGCCATAACTCCTGCTCAACATAGTACTTGAAATATTAGCCAGAGCAATCAGGCCATATAAAGTAACAAAAGGAATATATATATGAAACAAAGAAGTCAAATTATCACGGCACAGAGATGACATAATAATTTATATATAAAGCCTCAAATTCACAAAAAGACTCTTAAAAAAACCAAATTCATCAAATTAACAGGATAAAAGATTTACATGATAAAATGAACAGTTTTCCTGTGTACCTGAAATGAACTCACTAACGGAGAATTTAGGAAAATAAATAAATTACAGTAGCCTCAAGAGAAAGTAAATAACTCTACAACAACATATCTACAACAGCAGCTACATTACTCAAAAAAAAAAAAAGAGAGAGAGAGAGAGATTCAAGAGGACATCCAAAATTGGAAAGACATTCCCTGTTATTAGATAGGCAGAACCAATATCATCAAAACGGCCCTATTTCAAAAATTGATATTCAGAGTTAATATAAGGCCAATCAAAATACAAACAGCATTCTTCACAAAACTAGTGAAAACAGTCCTAAAATTTATAGGTAACTAAGCAGATCCAGAATAGCAAGAGAAGCCCTGGGTAATGCGAAATGTGAAGAGCTATCACAAACCTGTATTTCAAGTTATATTATAAAGTGAAAGTGATAAAAACTTCATTGCATTGGCAGAAAAATAGAAATGTAGACCAACTGAACAAATTAAAGTATGCAGAAAAAACTGCAGGCACATTCAACCATCTGATTTTGAAAAAGGGGCTAAAAACATATTCTGGAGAAAGATAGCCTCTTTACAAGCTGGTGCTTGGAAAAATGGCTAGACATATGCTGAAAATTGAAGCTAGAGTTATATCTCTCACCATGTACTAAATGAAAATGAAATTGGCTTAAAATATACATATTAAAAGGAAGACAATCTGATGGGAGATGTAATAGGTAAGACTCAAACATACTTGCAGGCAAGGATGTTCTGAACAGAATAACAGTTGAACAAGAAATAGCATCAAGAATGAACAAATGGAATTACATAAAATTAAAATGTGTTTGGACACAATAGAAAATGACCAGCAGAATGCAAAACAATTTGTAGGATGGGAGAAGTTTTTTCCAGCTACACTTTTGACCTACAGGTAATATCTAGAATACATAAACTAGAAAAAATATAACTCTCAAATTAAAAGATCCAGGGCCAGGGATTTAGCTCAGTGGTTCTGCCACCTGCCTTGCAAGAGTAAGGTCCCAAGTTTGATCCCCAGTACAAAAAAAATCTAATCACTAAATGGACAACTGAAATGAATAGACAGTTCTCAGAGGCTGAAGTAGAAATGGCCAAGAAATATACAAAATGTTTCAACATCTCTGGCCACTAAGGGAAAGCAAATTAAAATATTCAATTTTACTCCAGGAAGAATTGCAATTATCATTAAAATTAAATATTAACAAATGCTGGTTAGACTACAGGGAAAATAGTTGTTCTATATTGTTGATGGGGATATAAACTAGTACAACAATTATGGAAGTCAGAATGTGCCGGGGACTGCAATACTGATTATGCCCAAAGCAAGCTGTAAGCAGTGTAGTCTGTAAAGAGTTAAATCCTGCATTTGCTTTATTTTATAAAGCAAGTCTGACTGAAGCTACATGACTCATGGGAGCACCTCATGAGCATCAAGATAGTGCACAGGTTAGCATGTCCTTTCCACTAATAGCCATAGACAAGAGCAGAGAAATGGCCTATGAAGCTTATGGGTTTTATTCTGAGATAACATTATAGCTGAGGTCAGAGTATCTCTCACCCAAATTCCATTCTCATGACTAAGACCTTGACTACAAGGACAAGGATTAAATTATAACCATATATATATTTATCTATACTGTTCCTAATTCTAGAGTGCTTTTTCCCTTTCCTTTAAAAGCCTTCTCTGCATTAGTATCCATAGAATCTTCATGATTGCATGTCCTCACATGCAGTCCTATCCTCACACATATCTCACTTTTACCCCAATTGATTACCAATAAAAAGGAGTGGCTTGGACTGGCCAGTGCCCTTCACTCACTGGTCAACATTGGCTGTCCTGGCTCCCCACTTTTCTCTTTAATTCTCTCTTTGAGTCTTTCTTCAGCCTTTCATTGTACATTAGGCAGGAGACAGGAACCTACTGCAGAGGTCTCCAGTAAGTATGGAAATTCATCTAGAAATAAAATTAGAAACTCAATTTAATGCAGCTATTCCTCTCCTAAGTATTTTCCCCAAATAATTAAATATATCATATTATATAGATGCATTAACATTTATATTTATAACTGCAGAATTCATAATATCAAAATCTTTGAAGAATTCTATGTGTGCATCAACAGATGAATTGATAAATTAAATGTGGTATTTATACACAATATGATGAGGTTTCTTTTATATGATAAATAATATACAAATAGTTTAAAAGCAATATAATACATAGTTAATAGAGTGATAGTTCTTAAACAAATGAGGAGGGACCCAAGAGATGGAAGTAGAAGGAAAGGAAAGGGAAGAGAAGAGGTTGTAAAAGGAATTAAATTTTGTTATGTACATTTACTAATTCCCCACAGTGAATGTAATGGTATGCTACAAATATGTATTAATAAAAAATTTAAAATGGTAAATATTAACATAATAAATATGAACATTTTCAGTTGAATTAATTTATTCAAAGTTGTGGTTTTCTTAAATAATATATTGAAATTACATGAGTCTGCTTATAACATTCTGAATAATCCAATTTGAAATATAGGAATGTCTATAGTCAATTAAATTGACTGAGTTCCTTTGCCGATGGGTGCCCAGTGTATAATGGCTGCAAACATCAACTTCCTCAGTAGTGTGAGCAGCCTGTTGCTTGTGTAAGCTGCCTTAAGGGACCTTGGAGACCCTGATTGCCAATGGATTTTTATGTATCTGATCTCCTGCTGTCCCCAGTCTTGTCTCCAGAAAGGCATGCAAGTTGCCTTTGTGACTCTCCAGGGCACAGTGGTGAAGGTTCACATTGGACATATCATCATGTCCATGCACACCAAGCTGCAAAACAAGGAATATGTGATAAAGCCCCAAGGCAAGGCCAAATTTGACCTCTCTGGACTCCAGAAGATCCACTTCTCCAAGAAATGAGGCTTCACTAATTTCAGTGCAGACGAATTTGAAGACATCTTGGCTAAGAAGTACCTCATCCCTGGTGGCTGTCAGATGAAATACATCATGAAATGTTGTCCCCTAGAAATCTAGTGGACCTTGCACTTCTGAAGGCTTCCATGTGTCATGCCACCTTCATAAAAAATTCATTAATAAATCTTATCTCTGCTTTCTCCCCCAAAATTATAAATGGAAATGTAGTTAGAATATAAGTACGGGGATATTTATGTGTATTTATTTTTCCTGGAAAAAAGTGTATTTGATGGTAGATAAGACTTCTAAAATCACTATAATCAATTTCTTTTCTGAAGAATGGAAGTGCAATATACTGCACAAAACGTTTTACATTTGTAGTGAATATTAAATATAAGGTCACTTCATGAAATATTTAGAAGCAGAAAATAAAATTGGATACAAGAAAAATTGGATGTACTTCTTGTGTATGAATTTTATACAGAAGATAATATTAAGTAGGTGCATTTTGAGACATGTTTGTTATGTATCAAAGATAACTTTCATAAAATTTACTTGGTAATATTTTCAATATATGTGTATGAAATATTTTTATAATCTGACTTGCATAATATATATATATCATGGGAAAAATGAATTACTAGCCTAACATTTAATGTCAAATATTAACATTTACTACTTTTAGGAAATTTTTCATTTTTGATGTGTTAACACAGAGAAACAAATATAAATTTAACATTTTTATTGAGTTTATTGGTACATTCTAGGTATACAATACATTTGCATTCGTTACTATGATCTTGTACCTCTACATGACAGGTCTTGGTTCTCACTTTTTTCTCCTTGTCCCTACCCTCCCCGCATTATCCTGCCCCTCCTCCCCTCCCCATTTGCAAACACTTTATTTCCACTTTTTTTGTTTTCTCATATTTTTAAAAATTTTCCCTTATTCCCTTTCCCCTACCCTTCCCACTTTCCCTACACCTTTAGCCCTTTTCTTCCTATTTCACATTGTTAATTATCCCATTAGGATCTTGTGTCCTATTATAGTTTTTCACACCAGAGAAACTATTCAGTATTTATACATGTGGGACTTATTTATTTCACTTAAGAGTATATCCTCAATATGTATCCATTTTCCTATGAATAACCCTAATTTCTCATTCTTTATGGCTGAGTAGTATTCCATTTTATAGAAAAACTACATTTTCTTTATCCAGTTTTCAAGTGATGGGCAAATGGGTTGTTTCCAAGTTTTAGCTATTACAAACTGTGCTGCTATAAAAATAGGTAATACATATAATGTTAATGTTACTCCTGATAAAATATTCTATTGCTACCTTTCATAGGTAGATTAGAATGTTTATTTATATTTTTTTTCTCAAAACTTTATATTTTGGTACAGACATGTTATGATCCTTTGAAAAGTAGTTTGGCTATAAAGAAAAATATCCCAGAGGAATCTGACAAATACCCACTTGCAATCTATTGCATATAGAATGGATTAAGCTGCTTTAGCATTTTCTTTATGGGAAGCTTTCCAACAGTGCTTCCTGAAATTTCAGCCACTTCTCAAATGAAAAACTATATTTTATATTCAAGACACAAATGTATATCTGTGTTCCAACATTATAATAGGAGCTAAAATACAGTCTAAATAAAATACTATACACTCAAATACTTTTTCTAGTTTCCTATCACTTGACATACCCTGTTTTACATTAAATAAAGGATGATACACAATTAATATGCATATATTCATATAAACAGTGGCAAATACTCTGGAATCATTTACTTAGAAACAGAATGACTATATGTCTTTATGATTGTGATAGCCACCTGTTGAGCTTCAAGCATTTAAGGACACTCAAGTGCCTTTCAAAACATGCAAAGCTTTTTTTTTTTTTCAAAATTTCAGCATCATCTAAGTTTTGCCTTCTGAGAATTTGAAATTTTTTCACTCGTATAGTAAACTATTGCTAACTCAAAATGTGTTTTAGTAGAATATCCTTTGCAATGATTATATTTGATGAAAAACAATCTGCTGTAACTATGATAAATATTAGCTCTTACAATGAACTGTTAAAAACTGAGGCAATTCCATAATCATCCTATCCTGAAGCCGAAACAGATATTAGAGAATTATGGCACAGATATCTTATGACCATTCTCAAAAAACCTCAAGACACCAAAAACTTTTAAAGTACTGTGTTTCTTCCTGCTTCAGCAAAGAGCACCTCTTATTTTCTTGTCACTATCAATAATTAGTATAATTTTTATTTTTTATTGTCTAAAATCATTTGGAATTTTCAGTCAGTAAGTCTTGTATTTTTCCAAGTCTTAAATGTGTCTTGTTCTTTTTACTATATAAGTCAAACTTTAATTGATAGTGATGTCTTTACTACTTTGTTGATCATGCCTCTTTGTATTCCTTGCTTACTTTTTTACTAATTTATAAAAACCGTGTCCTGTAAAGAAAATAAGAAAAAAAAATAGTGACAGCTGGAAGCCACAATATTGATTATGCCCAAAGTATGATCAATTGGCTTACTTTCAGAAGTGAGTCTGACTGAAGCTATGTGGCGCACATAAGTGTAGCATGAGCACATTGGCAGCATACAGGTAAACATGATGTCTGTGATAAGGGCCACAGCTAAGAACAGAGTAATGTCCTATGAAGCTGTGGGGCTAATATTAGGTAACATGCATAACTGACATTGAAGTAATTTGTACCCAAATTCCATTCCCACAATTAGTACCTTTATAACTAGAAGGACTATGCTCTAATTGCAACCATATATTTTGGCTCTCTTGCTTCTATTTTGAAAATATGTTTTCTATTCTCTTTAAAGCCTTGCCTGAATTAATTTCCATAGAAAGTGCACAAACATGTGTACATGTAGTCATATCCTTACACATAGTTCACCTTCTCTAGGATTAATGAACATAAAAATCAGTGGATGAGACTGACCAGCACCTTTTCCTTAAGCAGCAATTGTCACCTCAGCTACCACTTTTTTCTTTCATTCTGTCTTGAGATTTCTTAAGTCTTGCATCACAATACTGAGCAGGAGACTAGAGCCTACTGCAGTTTAGTGCACAGTGAAAGATAAGGGTCTAGTTTTAATCTTTGGCAGGTTGAAATCCAGTTTTTCCAACACCATTTATTAAAGAGGCTATCTTTTCTCCAGTGAGGATGGTTGGTTCCTTTCTCAAAGATTAGGTAGCTGAGTACATCTGGAGTTATTTCTGTATCTTCCAATCTATTCCACTGATCCTCAGGTATGTTGCTTTGCCAGTACCATGCTGTCTTTATCACAGGGGCTTTGCAGTACAGTTTCAAAATTGTTATACCCACTGCCATGTCCCTGTTGCCTAGGATGGCTTTTGCTATTCTAGGTCTCTTCTGTTTCTAAATTAATTTTTGGATTATTTTTTCAAGTTCTATGAAATATACTGTTGGAATTTCAATTGGAATTGCATTGAGTCTGTATAACAGTTTTGGTAGTATGGACATTTTCACTATGTTGATTCTTCTTACCCAGGAGCAGGGGATATCTTTCCATTTTCTTATACCCACTTTGATCTCTTTTTTCAGAGTGCTGTAATTTTCAGTGTAGAGGTATTTTGCTTCTTCTGTTAGACTGATTCCTAGATATTTCATTTTTTTGGATGCTATTGTGAAAGGAATTGTTTCCCTCATTTCTCTGTCAGTGAATCAGTTATTTGTGCACAAGAAGGCTATTGATTTTTGAGTATTGACCTTGTATCCCGCTACTCTGCTAAAAGTGTCAATTAAGTCTAGAAGTCTCTTGGTGGAATTTTTGGTCCTCAATGTAGAGTATCATGTCATTAGCATATAATGACAGTTTAAGTTCTTCCTTTCCTATTATTATTACTTTAATTAATTTTCTTGTGTAACTGCTGTGGCTAATGTTTCCAGAACTATATTGAACAGGAGTGGTGATAGAGGGCATCCTTGTCTTGTTCCTGATTTAACATGAAGGTTTTCAGTTTTCGGCCATTTAATATGATGTTGGCTGTTGATTTTTCATAGATAAACTTTATTAAGCTGAGATATACACCATTTATTCCAAATTTTTGCAGGGTTTTATCATGAATGAGTGTTGAATTTTGTCAAAGGCATTTTTCAGCATCTATTGAAAGGATCATATTTGTTGTTCTTGACTCTGTTTATATAGTGTATTAGTTTTTTTATTTATGTATGTTGAACAATCCTTGCATCCCTGGAATAATTCTGACTTAGTCGGGTGTATGATTGTCTTGATGGCCCTCTGTATTCTGCTTGCCAGCATCTTATTAAGGATTTTTGCATCTATGTTCCTTAAGGAAATTGGCCTGTGGTTCTCCTTTTTTTAGTTGGGTCTTTCCCTCATTTGGGAATCAAAGTAACACTTGCTTCCAGGAATGAATTTGGAAGTATTGCTTCCCCTTCAATTGCACTGAAAAATTTTCAAGAGTAGTGGCTATAGTTCTTCTCTAAATTTCATAAAATTCAGTGGAGAATCCATCAGGACCTGGGTTTTTCTTCATTGGTAAACTTTTAATTACATTTTCAATTTCACTGATTGTAACTGGGGTGTTTAGACTTTTTTATCTTCTTCATTCAACCTTGGTAATTCATAAGTGTCTAGAAATCTGTCCATTTCTTCTGTGTTTTCCATTTTATTAGAGTACAGGTTCTCAAAGTAGGTATTAACAATCCTTTGGATTTCTGTTGGATCTGTTGTGACTTCACATTTTTCATTCATA